AGAGAGATGAGAGAGAGAGAGAGAGAGAGAGAGAGAGAGAGAGAGACTGTCCTAATTATTTTCTAAGTCGAGTTTGTTTAAGTATTTGAATGAATTGCACGAGGGTATCAGTGGAAAAAGCTAATTTTAAATGTAAATATCATTCTTCTTTTTTTGTTAATTAAAATTAAGTTCAATTTGTTCTATTTTTAAGCTTTTAAACAAGCAACTAGTTGTATTTTGTTAGCAGTACACAACACAAGCAACAGAGCACTTATTTCTGCAAGTCATATCAAGATCACAATATTCCCAACACACATTTCCTAAATGAAGTATTTAATGACTGAAGAGATGTACAGACACAGTGAAACCACAGCCATCTTTAAATCCCATATAACTTCTGATTCAACTTTTCCACCAAATGAAAGTAGTGCGGAGGTTTTATGGCGGTCCACTCTGACCTCTGACCTCACACTCCATAAGAAACACAATGCACACGAGGTCAAGGACGGCCGAGCGGCAATCTGAGTGTGACATGTTGCGCAACGAGAAGGAGCGTTGCTGATAAGGAATGTGTGCAGACTGTCACCTTATCATGTGCACCGGACATTTTGTTCACACACACACACACACACACACACACACACACACACACACACACACACACACACACACTGTATATTTACAGGAGGCAAAAGATACACTTCAAGTCTTTGTCCTTGGTGTGACTGCAGGGTAACTTCTCTCTTTCTGGCATGCCGTGTTAGCTCCGGACAAACTGTCTCTTATTGCACTTTTCTTTCACTAATTAAGTCTGTTAATGTAGATTTAGGCATTTTAAGACGTGGCAATTGGTTGTTAGATTCACTAGATAGTAAAGTAAATGCCCCAAGTGTTTCTTCAGGTTTGCTACCACATAAGATTATTTTAAAAGCAGCACATTCTCACGTTTAAGATGCTGGATCCATGACATGTTGAAAAAGGACTTATCAATCAATCAACAAAGAAAACAACAATTCAGTCTTATATTTTGTTCTTTGGTTGCTTGGTGAGTTTGGGATTGGATAAACCCATCATGAAAGACTGCTTTACTTTACTAAGGTATTTCATTTTTTCAGTTAATTTACATTTCATCTTTCCCAGACAGGCCTGCTTTTATGTGACACAGTTTAGTGTTTAAATATTCTCCAGAAAGTGTGGCTGGCTGTTTATGCAGAAACAGCCACATGTTGTTCGGCCTTCACCGTGCAGAGTTCAGGTCATCGAGTTCTCTTTCTATCTGAAGTCATGCCAGCCTGTTGGTGCTGAGAGAGAGGGGAAGTAGTGGAGTACAAATACTTTGTTACTGTACTCAAGCACATGTTTCTGGTATCAGTACTTTACTCCACGACTTATTTTTCTGATGGCTTTTTACTTTGACTTCTCACATGTTGAACCCAAATACCTGTACTTTCTACTTCTTACATGTTGAACCCAAATACCTGTACTTTCTACTTCTTACATGTTGAACCCAAATACCTGTACTTTCTACTTCTTACATGTTGAACCCAAATACCTGTACTTCTACTTCTTACATGTTGAACTCAAATACCTGTACTTTCTACTTCTTACATGTTGAACCCAAATACCTGTACTTTCTACTTCTTACATGTTGAACCCAAATACCTGTACTTTCTACTTCTTACATGTTGAACACAAATACCTGTACTTTCTACTTCTTACATGTTGAACACAAATACCTGTACTTTCTACTTCTCACATGTTGAACACAAATACCTGTACTTTCTACTTCTTACATGTTGAACCCAAATACCTGTACTTTCTACTTCTTACATGTTGAACACAAATACCTGTACTTTCTACTTCTTACATGTTGAACACAAATACCTGTACTTTCTACTTCTTACATGTTGAACACAAATACCTGTACTTTCTACTTCTTACATGTTGAACCCAAATACCTGTACTCTCTACTTCTTACATGTTGAACACAAATACCTGTACTTTCTACTTCTCACATTTCCCAAACAGGCTGGTTCCTTTAGTTTGAATGTGTGTTTGGTGGCGTGATCATTATTCTTTAGAGTCATTGCGTGCCTATTGATTTGAACACGATCCGTGTATCCATCATTTCCTGGTCTTCTCTAAAGAAGAGGGACCAATGAAAACGTTGTCATGTTGCCGTTGTTCAGCATGGAAACATTCATTAGCTAACAATGACATTATTGTTCTATTAATATAAAGGGAGGTCAGGTACTCTTTAAAACAGCTGCTAGTTATGGGTACTTTTTACTGAAGTACATTTCAAAGCCCTCTTTACTTTGACTTGAGTAAAGAAGTTTAGTCAGTACTTCTACTTTTACCAGAGTATTTTTAAACACGAGTATCTGTACTTCTACTTGAGTAAAGGATGTGTGTACTTTTGCTATCTCTGGATAGCTGCAGATTACCTGAACGCCTCCTCTATTCTTTTGGACGGTTCTCTCAGATCAGAGGCCTCCTGCTGAGAGCCTGGCAGCAGAGAGACTGAACACCATATGGTCGTTTTCAAATACTGCAGAGAAGAAGAAGAGACAAAGGAATGAATGGGATTTCAGCCGAGAGGGTTTTGATAGCTAAAGAAATATATAAAAATAGACACCATTAAATACAGTGTTGTCATGATTAGCTAGTTTGTTAGTTGATTGGTTGCTTAGTTAGTCAAGAGGGTTTTGATAGACAAATAGACACCATACAATACAGTGAAGTCACTTTAAGGTCCAGATTAGTTAGTTAGATGGTTGGTTGGTTGGTTGGTTGGTTAATTAAGTATTTGTTGGTTAATTAAGTATTTGTTGGTTAATTAAGTATGTGTTGGTTAATTAAGTATTTGTTGGTTAATTAAGTATTTGTTGGTTAATTAAGTATGTGTTGGTTAATTAGATAGCCGGTTGGTTGGTTGGATGGGTAGTAAGGTATTTGGTGAGATGGTTTGTTGGTTAAATAGCTCATGAATAGCTAGTTGGTTTGTTGTAAGGCTAGTGAGGTGTTTGGTTAGATGGCTAGTGAGTAGCTAGTTGGTTTGTTAGTTGGTTGGTTTGTTGGAGTATTTTATGACCATAGTATTTCTTCTTTAAGGATCTGAGTACTTCTTCCACCACTGCATCTTTGTAACTGTAAATGAAGTTTGCAAAACAAAACTAAACAGAATTTCTATTTTCCATTGCAAACACGTTACCTATCCAGCTCCCGCAGGCGTGACACATGTGAGTAAGATGATCTAAATGTAGTTTCCATACTGACGAGAGCAACATTAGGCTTGCTGATCATGCTTGTGATGTTTCAGAGCCTTGCATCAGCCTAACTCCACAGATAATCAACACTACACTCCTCAGATAGATGTCACATGCTCTCGCTGAAGCAGACATTTGAAACTCTTCACACAAACAAGCGATGTGTCATGCTCTCTGTAGAGCATCACATGGTGTGTGAAGTCACTGCTGTGTGAGGGTTGAGCTCACGGTGGTATTTCATCCTGAGCGTTCGAACAGTAGCTGATGTCCACAGCCAGGCTGCCCGTCAGCTGGTGGGTTACTCACACTGGAGGAATGTAACAGTTACATCATACTGTGGGAGGGAAAGAACAATACAGATCGCTCAGGACACTTTTAGACTATTACTACACGTCTTTAGCATCACTGCATAGGCTTTTAATAATGTTACACACAAGACAGCAGCTCAGACTTCTATATTAGTTCATTACCTCAGCTCAGGATGTCTTTTTATTTGTCTATCAACAGGATTAGGGAAAGAACTAGTGCCTGGAATTTCATGTAACATTAAATATTGGGGGGTTGGGGTCATTTTTGAAAAATAGTCACTTGAAATCCTGCTGGCTCTGCATGGCACCTTATTTTGTTATCTGTTCAATTCCTCAATGAATGCATGAATACCCTAAACGTTTCTTTCTTTTGTTTAAACAGAACAAGAGTCCACAAGGCCTGGTGGGACTGAGGAACCTGGGAAACACCGTGAGTGCTTCTTATTCTACAACACGGCAAATTAACCCTGCTAAATCTGGCTTTTTTTATCTCGTTATATCTGTTTGTTTGATTTCCAGTGTTTCATGAACTCCATCCTCCAATGTCTGAGTAACACTTCAGAGCTGAGAGATTACTGCCTGAGAAACGTCCATCGCTCGGACCTGAACAACAACTGCACCACAAACGCTGCTTTAATGGAAGGTAGGAGAAAAACTGTGTGCACGTGTGTTTAGCGTTGAGTCACTTTATGGCTCACTTTATTCTCATTTATGAACTTTATACTCAACTATGACGTCTTAAGCTTCATATTGCTCTGATGCACGAACGAAAGCTCTAACAACCCTTTACCTTGATCACCTTCACGATGAAAGATCACTGGAATCGCATCAGATAATACTCCAATTATCAGTTTCTGCACAAACACGAACAGTTGCAGTCACAGTTTGACCTTTGACTCTATTCAACATGTGCATAGTTTACTTATTTCTGCCTTTCACTTGCACCGGTGTGTAATTTTCTTGCAGTTAAATTGTCTTTTAATTGCATGTTGCACTGTGGCTGTGTCAAGATGTCCATCGCTAACGCTATAGCTATTGTTCATATGAAAATAAAACCTTTCAACCTTTTTAATCTTGATGTTTTTCTATGCTTTTGCCTCAGAGTTTGCAAAGCTGACTCAGAGTCTGTGGACGTCAGTGAGCAGCGAGGCCGTCAGTCCCTCGGACTTCAGGAGCCAGATCCAGAGATACGCTCCCAAATTTGTGGGCTGCAAGTAAGTGTTCCCTCCTGCCGCTTAAAATACTTTATCATCCATTCATTATTGCTGATTTCAGAGAAAAGAAAGTAACTGTTCCCTCCTCGCAGTCAGCAGGATGCCCAGGAGTTTCTGCGGTTCTTATTGGACGGCCTCCATAACGAAGTGAACCGAGTGACGGTTCGCTCTAAAGTGTCCGACGAGGACTTTGACCATCTCTCGTAAGTCAACCCTCACCTCACATGTCATTAACACCACTTTATGAGCTACCTTAAGGCTATAAAGGCACTACAGCACGGTCACATGACTTCACGTCACCACCGCTAAGCTAAAGGTGGCTAATGTTGGGCTATAAAGGAACTACAGCACGGTCACATGACTTCACGTCACCACCGCTAAGCTAAAGGTGGCTAATGTTGGGCTATAAAGGAACTACAGCACGGTCACATGACTTCACCTCTCCACCGCTAAGCTAAAGGTGGCTAATGTTGGGCTATAAAGGAACTACAGCACGGTCACATGACTTCACGTCACCACCGCTAAGCTAAAGGTGGCTAATGTTGGGCTATAAAGGAACTACAGCACGGTCACATGACTTCACCTCTCCACCGCTAAGCTAAAGGTGGCTAATGTTGGGCTATAAAGGAACTACAGCACGGTCACATGACTTCACGTCACCACCGCTAAGCTAAAGGTGGCTAATGTTGGGCTATAAAGGAACTACAGCACGGTCACATGACTTCACCTCTCCACCGCTAAGCTAAAGGTGGCTAATGTTGGGCTATAAAGGAACTACAGCACGGTCACATGACTTCACTTCACCACCGCTAAGCTAAAGGTGGCTAATGTTGGGCTATAAAGGAACTACAGCACGGTCACATGACTTCACATCACCACCGCTAAGCTAAAGGAGGCTAATGTTGGGCTATAAAGGAACTACAGCACGGTCACATGACTTCACTTCACCACCGCTAAGCTAAAGGTGGCTAATGTTGGGCTATAAAGGAACTACAGCACGGTCACATGACTTCACTTCACCACCGCTAAGCTAAAGGTGGCTAATGTTGGGCTATAAAGGAACTACAGCACGGTCACATGACTTCACGTCACCACCGCTAAGCTAAAGGTGGCTAATGTTGGGCTATAAAGGAACTACAGCACGGTCACATGACTTCACGTCACCACCGCTAAGCTAAAGGTGGCTAATGTAGCCCGTGATGACGTTTAGTCGTCTCATTTAGACACTTGTTAGCAACAGCTGTTTTTAAATTCACCAGTGGGGTATTTATTGATGTATTTTATCTTGTAGAACAAAACATTAACATCTCTTCATCTTGAGTTAACCATACACCTTATTTCAGGCTAACAACCAAAAACACATTTGAAAATAAACTTCCAGATGAAGGGACAGTGAGTGCTAAAATGCTGACTTATTTCCAGGTTTTAGGACTCATTCCTGCACCACTTTATAAGCCAACCTATTCAGTTTTTCATTAATACTTTGGTTTCACTCACAGAGACGATGAGAAAGGGAAGCGGATGTGGAACATGTATTTGGAGAGAGAGGACAGCAAAGTAGTGGGTAAGAGTTTCTCCGTGTTTTAATGTTCAAAAAGCTCTTTATTTTTCTCATACATGCTGCAGCACCTCTTTTCACCCTCTGTCTGAAACCAGAGCCCAGTCTGCTCTGATTGGTTAGATGTCCCGCCCCTTAGCCTATCACGTACAATGTGTTGGAGCGCTAGCCAATAGAAGCGCTAATTGTAATCCTCCATGTCTCGTATTTCTTCAGATCTGTTTGTGGGTCAGCTGAAGAGCTCTGTGACCTGCAGCTCCTGTGGCTTCAGATCCACCGTGTTCGACCCTTTCTGGGACTTATCCATACCTGTCGCTCAGGTAAACACACACACTGGAAAGATTTAGCCATCCATGTTTTATGATATAGTGTTGGCTAGGCTTTAAATACTTTTAATATTGCAGTGAAAAACAAGTAATTCATTGTCTTGTCCGGTATGTGTTTGTATTGATTTGGCTCTTTTTAAGCTCAGTTTTTTAGCTTCTGTTAAACTAGTTCCTTTTGAAACTGTGGAAAAGTCTGGAAATTCCTTAATAAGTCCTTGAATTAGAAGTTTAATGTGTGTTTCCTGACATTATCTGTTTCTCCTCAGAAGAGCTCTGGCGAGGTGACTCTCAGAGACTGTCTGAGGCTTTTTACCAAAGAAGACGTGTTGGACGGAGAAGAGAGACCGGTAAGAACAACACACACAACACCCTCCTGTAGAGATTATAAATATATTATTCTACAGCAGCAGTCTCTCACCTTCCTCTCCTCTTTGTCTCTCAGACGTGCAACAGATGTAAAACCAGGAGGAAATGCACCAAAAGATTCAGCATCCAGAAGTTTCCTCAGATCCTCGTGCTTCGTATCCTTTCCTCACATCTTCCAGCATGCAGACGTGATCAAACAACATCACTGCTAACATCAGCATTCACTAAGTCAATAAGGGAGATATGGACTCCTTTGAGGGTTAAGTGTTTTCTTTATTTAAGGTTAGGCAGCATTTTAATATGCAAAGTGCGTATAGTTCATTTGTAAACTTGAGATGGAGGTGGGAAATAAAACAGATATATGGAATAAAACAGATTATGTAATTAATATGATACAGTGAAGTAGAAGCAGATAGTACTCAATATCAGGTCTGCTACGATTAGTCGACTTAATGACCAAGAACTGGCAATTATCTAAATTTGAAATGTTTAAAAGTCGTGCATCAAAGGCAGAACATGTTGTTTTTCAAACCTTTAAAATCTGGAAATGTTCTGCTTTCTAGTTTTTAAATCATGCAATTGGATGTCTTTGAGTTTTTGCCTGAAACATCACCTAGACTTTGAGAAACTGCGATTTTACACATTTTTCTGACATCTTATCGACCAAACCGTTCTTATTTCCAAAAATTCTTCTCCTTTTTCAAATGTATTTTTCATTTTAATTCATTCTTAAATGTACAAACTGTCCCAAAACCCAATGTTCCCGTTGCACTTGAAGCACAGTAATGTCCTTTCCCCCTCCATGTTGCCTCCTTGACTCGATTCCTCTCAGATCTGAAGCGTTTCTCTGACTCTAACCTGCGGACCAGTAAACTCTCCACGTACGTCAACTTCCCGCTCAAAGAGCTCGACCTGCGAGAGTTTTCCTCGGACGGCGGAGGTGAGTTTCTGTCTCACCTGCCCTTTGCACTTTAGTCTGAATGTGGTGAGTTAATGTCAGCTGTGTGTCCCTGCAGAGCGTCCTCTCTACAACCTGTATGCAGTCTCCAACCATTCAGGGAACGCTCTGGGCGGGCACTACACCGCCTACTGCAAGAGCCCAGCGCTGGGGGAGTGGTACAACTACAACGACTGCAGGTGTGTGTGTGTGTGTGTGTGTGTGTGTGTGTGTGTGTGTGTGTGTGTGTGTGTGTGTGTGTGTGTGTGTGTGTGTGTGTGTGTGTGTGTGTGTGTGTGTGTGTGTGTGTGTGTGTGTGTGTGTGTGTGTGTGTGTGTGTGTGTGTGTGTGTGTGTGTGTGTGTGTGTGTGTGTGTGTGTGTGTGTGTGTGTGTGTGTGTGTGTGTGTGTGTGTGTGTGTGTGTGTGTGTGTGTGTGTGTGTGTGTGTGTGTGTGTGTGTGTGTGTGTTGTATTATTGTTTTACATGTTCTGAATAAATCTAATCTCCAATACTTGTGTGTGTGCAGGGTGAGTCCGGTGTCCTCCAGTCAGGTGCGCAGCAGTAACGCCTACGTGCTTTTCTATGAGATGACCTCCACCTCCGTGACGCACAGCAAATACCAGACGTGTCGACTTTAGACTCTTTAACCTGCATAAAAAACACACACACACACACACACACACACACACACACACACACACACTGCCTGAAGAGAGGCAGCGCCCCCTGCTGGAGGGAGTCCTGCCACGACAGACTTTGGATATAAAACACAGAGACATGATGAGATCACTTTCCTCTCGGTGTGTTTTTGGAGGATGTTTCTGCACATGTGATCTTCAGGATGTCAAGATGAACTCGTAAGTTGGACGGACGCTTGGAAAATATTACCTACGTGTAAAATTCAGCTCAAGGCACGGCTTAAAATGCACTCCAAAAAATCAGTTTTACTGCTGTGCCTCGATCTGAATCCACTCACACCAGGGGATTTATTTCCATCCACCTTGACGACATTGAACTTTGACGACATTGAACATCTAATTTATTGTATTTAACGTGTAGTAACTGAGAGTGTAAACTGTATATTTTATTGAGCGAAGCCTTGTGGTTTTGGACAGATATTATTTTTGTACAGTATTTATGTACGGCGCAGTGAATGTACCTGATTGTGGTGGAAAGCCCAAAAATACCAAAGCCGCTTTAGAACAAAAAAATCAAGCATCAACAATATTTGTTTTGCTTTTCCAGCAATTAAATAATGTTGCTGACATCTGAGTCTATGAAAGATTAAAAATACAATGTTAACTTACAATGCATCGTGTGTATTTATTTTGTGTTTAAATGGTGGATTTAACCTATGGAGTTCATGAGGTTAAAAATATTATTATTATTATTATTATATAACGATCTGTTCATATATCCAGAAGAGCAACAAAAGCATTTGTTTAAAGGTAAAGTCTGTAACATTTCCCAATTAATAAGCATTATTTAATTTAACAATTGTATCTACAAAAATATACATAAAATAAATAACTATGGATATATAATTAAAGGTAAAGATATAGTATATCAAGTAGTTCAAATGAGCTCCATCTTTACCAGCTTAAAGTGAAGCAATAATCATCTTCTCTCCTCTGATTGGTTAAAGTTGTGGGTAGTTTCACACCACGTCCACTAGAGGGCGCTCACAGATTATATTCATAGGAAAACCTGTCTTTCATGAAGCAGATTCAGGCAGTAGAAGTATTCACACTTAAAGTATGATCCTTCAGAACAGCTCTGATGTTTTTAGGTTTTACTAAAAGTGTAATCTAACAGTCATCCCCATTTAAAACAAATGTAATCTGATTTTTTTGAATGCAACTGTAAGAGAATACAGTTACCCTTTTTTTGTATCCTGAATTTTTATTTTTATTATCCTGTTACATGAAATCTATTACTCCCCAAGCCTGAATACACACACACACACACACACACACACACACACACACACACACACACACACACACACACACGCACACAGCAGTATTAACAGTCATTTACCTGCATGTTGTTACCAAGCGCTCCCTCTGTTGACACTTCCACGGCTAATGAACACGCCGTAAAACAGTGAACGCCTCATGAGGGACAAAGTCCACTTTAGAACCGCCGTGAAAAACATTAATACATTCCCTTTAGTTACTTCTCAGATCTGGATGAATGATGTGAAATATAATCAAGTGTTAAATCAGACTTTAGTTCCACCTGGAGTAAATCCACAAGCTACCCTGCAGTATACAAAGTCATTCAAACTAGCTGCACCTTTACCAGCTTTGAGAACACTTTCATGATCAATCATTATAAAACATATCATATATATTATTCTGAAATGGACCAATCTGCACAATGACTACTTTTACTGTACTTTCACTATATTTTGATGAGAATACTTTTCTACTTTTACTTGAGGAACATTTTGAATGCAGGACTTTTACTATAACAGAGTATTCCTACACTCTGGTACTTCTACTTTTACTCAAGTACAAGACCTGAGTACTTCTACTTTTACTCAAGTAGCTACAAGATCTGAGTACTTCTACTTTTACTCAAGTACAAGATCTGAGTACTTCTACTGTTACTCAAGTACAAGATCTGAGTACTTCTACTTCTACTCAAGTACAAGATCTGAGTACTTCTACTTTTACTCAAGTACAAGATCTAGAACTTCACTTGTAAGATCTGAGTACTTCTACTTTTACTCAAGTACAAGATCTGAGTACTTCTACTTTTACTCAAGTATAAGATCTGAGTACTTCTACTTTTACTCAAGTACAAGATCTGAGTACTTCTACTTTTACTCAAGTACAAGATCTGAGTACTTCTACTTTTACTCAAGTACAAGATCTGAGTACTTCTACTTTTACTCAAGTACAAGATCTGAGTACTTCTACTTTTACTCAAGTACAAGATCTGAGTACTTCTACTTTTACTCAAGTACAAGATCTGAGTACTTCTACTTTTACTCAAGTACAAGATCTGAGTACTTCTACTGTTACTCAAGTACAAGATCCTGAGTACTTCTACTTTTACTCAAGTACAAGATCTGAGTACTTCTACTTTTACTCAAGTACAAGATCCTGAGTACTTCTACTTTTACTCAAGTACAAGATCTGAGTACTTCTACTTTACTCAAGTACAAGTCTGAGTACTTCTACTGTTACTCAAGTACAAGATCTGAGTACTTCTACTTTTACTCAAGTATAAGATCTGAGTACTTCTACTTTTACTCAAGTACAAGATCTGAGTACTTCTACTGTTACTCAAGTACAAGATCTGAGTACTTCTACTTTTACTCAAGTACAAGACCTGAGTACTTCTACTTTTACTCAAGTACAAGATCTGAGTACTTCTACTGTTACTCAAGTACAAGATCTGAGTACTTCTACTGTTACTCAAGTACAAGATCTGAGTACTTCTACTTTTACTCAAGTATAAGATCTGAGTACTTCTACTTTTACTCAAGTACAAGATCTGAGTACTTCTACTGTTACTCAAGTACAAGATCTGAGTACTTCTACTTTTACTCAAGAACAATATCTGAGTACTTCTACTTTTACTCAAGTACAAGCTCTGAGTACTTCTACTTTTACTCAAGTAAAGGATCTGAGTACTTCTCTCTCCTCTGCATATACTGCAAACACTAATTAAAGACGCAGATACTGTACACTGAGTACTCGTATCATGAACAAACAACTTGGGGAAGTATACGATCCTAATATAATCGACACATGGACTTTAAGCCAGACTGATGGAGTCATTGCAGTTCATAGAAAGATGATGAAGTTATTTATTAAATGTAATTTCAAAGCCTTTTATCTAAGAAAACACATCCAAGCAGTCCCAACGTCACCTAGAAAATATTAATACATCACATATTAAAAGAAAATATCCATGATTTCTGATAACAGTTTATTTCTTTTGTACACCATCGTAAAAAACCAAAGTCATTTATAAGATATTGCTCATTATTGTATGCATAAATCGTAAGGTGACAGTTAATTATAAGGGAATTAGTAGTTATAGTAGAAATACATTTGTAGTAGAAATACTTTCATCCGTCAATAAAGGAAAAAAAACATACAAAATATTATAAATGATTATAGATTATTTTGTAATGATCTGAAAAACGTGTTTTATGTTGTCTTCCTCTTGGCCGTGTCATCATGTGATTTCTTTATTCCAACGTGAGCCTTTCAGACAACACGTTTTTATTTCTCAGAGTCCAGTTAAAAGCATCAGGATTGATTTTAGGATGTTCAATGTTTTTATCTTATAATCATGTTCCTCTTCGGGGGAATAACTGGTCTCAGATCTTCCCGGTGAACTTCAGCAGACCAAAGATACCACCACCTAAACAACAGAAAGGAACATTGTTATGTTGAATTTGATCCTTGATGAGGATATAGGCGTTACCATCTAAAGAATCTAGATGAAAAGCTGGGAATGTTATGGAAATACTTTAAATTAAAATACTTCCATATTATCAGAGTTAGTAATCCATAGTATAGTCTGAGTTTTAATATAATATATGTAATAAGTAGTGTATCAAATGTTTTCATCAAATAAATGATCGTATGGTAACTTTAGTTTGTTCTTTAGTTTAATAATGTATTGAAATGTATCGTGTTGTGTTTCTTCGTACGGTATGGTATTGTTTCCTCTAATAACATAACATATTGTTTTGTATCATTTTATTATCATATCGTACGGTATCGTATCGCTTTGTTTTGCTTAGTTACGTTTTGTATCGTACCGTTTTCGAATGTACCAAGTTGTATCTTATCCTATCGTATCCTATAGTTTCGTTACACCAGTGGCGAGCCGTCAGGGCCCTCTAGGCCCTCTGTGAGGGCCTAAGATATTCCAAAAAATGTAAATATATATATTTTTTAATATTATTTTTGTTATATTTTTCATTAGTTTTACCGAAAAAGAACTTGATTTAATTGTTTTTAAAATAACATTTCCAAATAAATAAATCCTTAGAATCTGCCTGTTCAGTCTCTGCTGAATGTGAAGGGTTACATGAAAGAAGCTCGTCTGGCCCTCTCTGCGATTCACAGAGGGTTGCTATAGTAACTGAACGAGAGAGTAATGTCAAATGACAGTACAATTGACCAATCATATCTTCCCTCTAAATGGGTGGGTTTTATTATCGCGGACTTTATGACAAGTTCCGCCCGCTGTGAAACTTTTCTTGTTTCCATAGCAACAACAACTTCCTGTCAACATTGTGAACTCGCCTTCAAAATAAAAGCATGCCAAATTACACTTAAGACATACAACTGCAACGAAAGTAACAAACACAATGCAATATCCTTTTCAATGTCAAAGAACACAAATTGGGTTCACAGGTGTTGTTTTGTGTGGTAGAGGGTCGCTGTCTTTGATGCGTTTTGCACCCTGGGCCGTTGTTTTGATATTCCGCTGAAGTATACGCTGTGACGTAATAACTCTTTTTTTTTCTTTTTTTCGAGGGAAGGGGTGGGGGTCAGAGGGCCTAGGTATAAAGCTCACGGCTCGCCACTGCGTTACACACTCTACTGTGTCGTTCCGTATTGTTCCCTATCATTCTGTATCATATCGTACCATAATGTATGGTATCGTAGCATATCATATTGTAAGGTATCAAATCGTACCATATCATACTGTATCGTATCATATTGTACCGTACCCTATTGTGACATATCGTATCATATTGTACCATACTGTATGATGTTGTAGCCTATCGTGTCTGACTGTATTGTTTCCTATCTTAGTGTATTGTACTCACCAACAGCGCCCACACCAGCGATGGAGCCGATGGTAATCCCGGCTATAGCGCCAGATGAAAGCCCTCCTGCGGGGATTGTTGTAACTGGGGCTGGTGTAACTGGGGCTGGTGTGGTAGCTGGGGCTGGTGTGGTAGCTGGGGCTGGTGTGGTAGCTGGGTCTGGTGTGGTAGCTGGGTCTGGTGTGGTAGCTGGGGTCGGTGGAGGAGATGGGGTCGCTGGAGGAGCTGCGGTCGGTGGAGGAGCTGCGGTCGGTGGAGGAGCTGCGGTCGGTGGAGGAGCTGCGGTCGGTGGAGGAGCTGCGGTCGGTGGAGGAGCTGCGGTCGCTGGAGGAGCTGCGGTCGCTGGAGGAGCTACAGTTGTAGTCTGCCCAACACACAGGGCGACTGTAAAAGCAAAACACAGAAACCGGTTCAAGATAGTGATGTTACATTCACGAACGATTCGATTCTTTTGAACGGCTCTTTGGTACGAACGAAGGGAACCGAGTCGTACTTGGTGAGAGCCGTTCTTTTTATCGTTGGTTCTCTGCCTGCCATAAATCCACTCGCCTTTACGTGAACAGTGAAAAAGCTTGATTTTGTTCCCCAAGCGTATTCCATGAAGACCCGCCCCTACTCTGATTGGTTAGGTTTAGGCAGGAGTGCCTAAAGGGTCTTAACGGAATACGCATGAGAGAGAAGTTTTGTTTTATTTTGTTATATATTATATAATCAAAGGTTTTTGGATATTGAGGGATTTGGGGATTTGTCACTGAATAAATCCTAAAATACTACAAACGGCCATAAAATGATCTGTTTCCTCCAGTTTTTAGGTATAACAGTTTCTATACGTTAGGGTTGGGATAAAGAGGGGAACACCTTTAACTAATAGACATCACCATCAAACCTCCTCAGTTGATTACAGACATTAAGACAATTATTTTTTGCATTACAAGTTTTCTGAAATGATGTTTAAATATGCTAATGTGGCATTATGCTATGCTAGCGTACAGTCTGCAGATGCAAAAGTTAGTGAAGCAAATGTGTGAAAATAAGATGTTATGGAATCAAAAAACAATATCACGTAGTGTCTCACGTGTTCTGATTTTAGCTCGACTTTTATTTTGAAAAATCTCAACACAGACTCATAGTTCAGCTTTAAAGTCCTTTTATCATCGTCCATAACATGTTGAATGGATCCAGAAGTGTTGCTCTTTAAACAAAGCAAACAGTATTTATGGAGAAACTTAGTGCTTGTGAATGTGTGTGTAAAAAGTTTGTAAAAAACAGAGGGCAATGTCAAAGATAAAGAATATGACTGACCCACCCTTTCAACAAACACTAACTTTATTATGACCCTGAAGCTATGACCTCTATCAACGCTTTGTCTCCATTAGAACATTTCGACAGTTTTTGCAAATGGACCCTATTACACTCATATATGTAGTGTCTCTACTTTAAAGAGTCCTCTCCTGCTGATGGTCAGGTGTATATCAGTATGTAGTGTCTCTACTTTAAAGAGTCCTCTCCTGCTGATGTTCAGGTGTATATCAGTATGTAGTGTCTCTACTTTAAAGAGTCCTCTCCTGCTGATGTTCAGGTGTATATCAGTATGTAGTGTCTCTACTTTAAAGAGTCCTCTCCTGCTGATGTTCAGGTGTATATCAGTATGTAGTGTCTCTACTTTAAAGAGTCCTCTCCTGCTGATGTTCAGGTGTAAATCAGTATGTAGTGTCTCTACTTTAAAGAGTCCTCTCCTGCTGATGTTCAGGTGTATATCAGTATGTAGTGTCTCTACTTTAAAGAGTCCTCTCCTGCTGATGTTCAGGTGTATATCAGTATGTAGTGTCTCTACTTTAAAGAGTCCTCTCCTGCTGATGTTCAGGTGTATATCAGTATGTAGTGTCTCTACTTTAAAGAGTCCTCTCCTGCTGATGTTCAGGTGTATATCATATGTAGTGTCTCTACTTTAAAGAGTCCTCTCCCTGCTGATGTTCAGGTGTATATCAGTATGTAGTGTCCTCTACTTTAAAGAGTCCTCTCCTGCTGATGTTCAGGTGATATCAGTATGTAGTGTCTCTACTTTAAAGAGTCCTCTCCTGCTGATGTGTCAGGTGTATATCAGTATGTAGTGTCTCTACTTTAAAGAGTCCTCTCCTGCTGATGTTCAGGTGTAATTCAGTATGTAGTGTCTCTACTTTAAAGAGTCCTCTCCTGCTGATGTTCAGGTGTATCAGTATGTAGTGTCCTCTACTTTAGAGTCACTCTCCTGCTGAGTTCAGGTGTTATATCAGTACTTTAAAGAGTCCTCTCCTGCTGATGTTCAGGTGTATATCAGTATGTAGTGTCTCTACTTTAAAGAGTCCTCTCCTGCTGATGTTCAGGTGTATATCAGTATGTAGTGTCTCTACTTTAAAGAGTCCTCTCCTGCTGATGTTCAGGTGTATATCAGTATGTAGTGTCTCTACTTTAAAGAGTCCTCTCCTGCTGATGTTCAGGTGTATCAGTATGTAGTGTCTCTACTTTAAAGAGTCCTCTCCTGCTGATGTTCAGGTGTATATCAGTATGTAGTGTCTCTACTTAAAGAGTCCTCTCCTGCTGATGTTCAGGTGTATATCAGTATGTAGTGTCTCTACTTTAAAGAGTCCTCTCCTGCTGATGTTCAGGTGTATATCAGTATGTAGTGTCTCTACTTTAAAGAGTCCTCTCCTGCTGATGTTCAGGTGTATATCAGTATGTAGTGTCTCTACTTTAAAGAGTCCTCTCCTGCTGATGTTCAGGTGTATATCAGTATGTAGTGTCTCTACTTTAAAGAGTCCTCTCCTGCTGATGTTCAGGTGTATATCAGTATGTAGTGTCTCTACTTTAAAGAGTCCTCTCCTGCTGATGTTCAGGTGTATATCAGTATGTAGTGTCTCTACTTTAAAGAGTCCTCTCCTGCTGATGTTCAGGTGTATATCAGTATGTAGTGTCTCTACTTTAAAGAGTCCTCTCCTGCTGATGTTCAGGTGTATATCAGTATGTAGTGTCTCTACTTTAAAGAGTCCTCTCCTGCTGATGTTCAGGTGTATATCAGTATGTAGTGTCTCTACTTAAAGAGTCCTCTCCTGCTGATGTTCAGGTGTATATCAGTATGTAGTGTCTCTACTTTAAAGAGTCCTCTCCTGCTGATGTTCAGGTGTATATCAGTATGTAGTGTCTCTACTTTAAAGAGTCCTCTCCTGCTGATGTTCAGGTGTATATCAGTATGTAGTGTCTCTACTTTAAAGAGTCCTCTCCTGCTGATGTTCAGGTGTATATCAGTATGTAGTGTCTCTACTTTAAAGAGTCCTCTCCTGCTGATGTTCAGGTGTATATCAGTATGTAGTGTCTCTACTTTAAAGAGTCCTCTCCTGCTGATGTTCAGGTGTATATCAGTATGTAGTGTCTCTACTTTAAAGAGTCCTCTCCTGCTGATGTTCAGGTGTATATCAGTATGTAGTGTCTCTACTTTAAAGAGTCCTCTCCTGCTGATGTTCAGGTGTATATCAGTATGTAGTGTCTCTACTTTAAAGAGTCCTCTCCTGCTGATGTTCAGGTGTATATCAGTATGTAGTGTCTCTACTTTAAAGAGTCCTCTCCTGCTGATGTTCAGGTGTATATCAGTATGTAGTGTCCTCTACTTTAAGAGTCCTCCCTGCTGATGTTCAGGTGTATATCAGTATGTAGTGTCTCTACTTTAAAGAGTCCTCTCCTGCTGATGTTCAGGTGTATATCAGTATGTAGTGTCTCTACTTTAAAGAGTCCTCTCCTGCTGATGTTCAGGTGTATATCAGTATGTAGTGTCTCTACTTTAAAGAGTCCTCTCCTGCTGATGTTCAGGTGTATATCAGTATGTAGTGTCTCTACTTTAAAGAGTCCTCTCCTGCTGATGTTCAGGTGTATATCAGTATGTAGTGTCTCTACTTTAAAGAGTCCTCTCCTGCTGATGTTCAGGTGTATATCAGTATGTAGTGTCTCTACTTTAAAGAGTCCTCTCCTGCTGATGTTCAGGTGTATATCAGTATGTAGTGTCTCTACTTTAAAGAGTCCTCTCCTGCTGATGTTCAGGTGTATATCAGTATGTAGTGTCTCTACTTTAAAGAGTCCTCTCCTGCTGATGTTCAGGTGTATATCAGTATGTAGTGTCTCTACTTTAAAGAGTCCTCTCCTGCTGATGTTCAGGTGTATATCAGTATGTAGTGTCTCTACTTTAAAGAGTCCTCTCCTGCTGATGTCAGTGTATATCAGTATGTAGTGTCTCTACTTTAAAGAGTCCTCTCCTGCTGATGTTCAGGTGTATATCAGTATGTAGTGTCTCTACTTTAAAGAGTCCTCTCCTGCTGATGTTCAGGTGTATATCAGTATGTAGTGTCTCTACTTTAAAGAGTCCTCTCCTGCTGATGTTCAGGTGTATATCAGTATGTAGTGTCTCTACTTTAAAGAGTCCTCTCCTCTGATGTTCAGGTGTATATCAGTATGTAGTGTCTCTACTTTAAAGAGTCCTCTCCTGCTGATGTTCAGGTGTATATCAGTATGTAGTGTCTCTACTTTAAAGAGTCCTCTCCTGCTGATGTTCAGGTGTATATCAGTATGTAGTGTCTCTACTTTAAAGAGTAGAGACGAGTGTTCCGTAGTGATGTCACTATGCACAGAAATCTTTAGAACATACTACAGGAAAGGGAAAACCCCAAAAAGAGATATAACGCAATGTTTAATATATATTTTTGTTGTTTTTGTGGCGGTGAGCTCGCAAATTGTGATAATCCAAAATGGCATGTGTGTCTTTCCATTACACACGTCTTGTTATTTATGAACGTCATGAAATGGACTTCTGCTAAACGCTCAGCTGAGGGAAGTCTCTTACACCGATACAAAAAACTCAAATCCATTTCCTACTTTACCATCTGGAAAGTTCTCTGTCATAAACTGGGATGTGAAGTTAATGAATGACTAACGCCCATCCACACGTTTCCTCCTCACTGCTCTAAGTTTCACATTTGGTTTTTACCACTTTCAAAGATATGAAATGACTTAAAACAATTAAACGATTACTCACTTTCAACCCCCTGCTGAGTTTTGTGTCTGTTTTGTTATTTAGATATCACAATAATCCTAATTTCACTCCTTAAATGACCAATTCTGTGTCGTCAGAAGCCCTCAATGTAATATCCATGCTTTAAAAAAAACAATGATCCCTTTCTTACGAGGCACTTTAAACTGTATGTTGTTACTAAGCCAGTTATACGTTTTAATAAGACGACTTTTGGGTTGCCAGGTTGTGCAAACCCTTTGATCTTCTATGAATCTGAACAGAAATCCTTTTTACCCATTAAGTGCAGACTACATTATTAAAATCCTTTAATTAGCACCTTTTTATTGTCATTTAAACCTTGAATTTACGAACATGTGTTAATGTTCAATCTTCATATATAATTACCTGGCAACAAATCTGTTATGAATAATGACTTTCAACTGATCTATCAAGCATTAGTAAGATATGGATTGACATTAAAATGGCTTCAACAAAATAGGAGATGTTTTTTATATATATTATTGTACAAAATGAAATGATGTTTTACCTGAGCCCAGGAGGCAGAGAGTCAGAAGAGGGAGTTTCATTTTGTCAGATTTGTAAGAATAAATCTGTTTTAGAAGATGCTCTCTGGATTGTGATTTCTGTAGCTGGAAACACAAAGAAACAAATAGTTATTATCTGTGCAAACACACATGTAGTACGTACAGGCGCATCTCTGCTTATCTAATCCTTTCTGTGTCGCGAACAGGAAATTCAATTAAGTAAATTACACCCAGCTCTACTAAAACTAAACTTGGTTATCACCCTTAACTCACCTTATCCACCTTTAAAGAGTTTAAAAGCCTGTTTTAGATCAAATATTCATCATTAAACAGGAAATATAAGAGAACAAATGTCAAAATAACACAAGTTATACGAGTGAATAATCATTCAAGATTAAAAATAATCACATTTGGTCATATTAGTTGCTTTTCGATGATCCTTAAGTATTTAACACCATACATTTTTACTTTTCCTGATCAAAAAACACATTCAATCAAAAATATAACAAAACAAGTATATAACTATGAAGCTGATTCATTCTGAGGTCGTATTAGAGAGTTATCTCCAGAATATTGACCTGGATTTACAACGTTTTTCACTTCAAATGTTCTTACCGTGCAGGATAAACAAAGTTTTGAGCAAAATAACTTTCTTAAATATATTTGTTTATTTCTATCAGGAACTCCAAATGTTCTCGAACAAATATTTTTTTAAAACGTAACGAGGAGCTGCAGTACTCACCTGAGCGGCTGTAGGTCACGACTCACCTCTCTTCCCGTAAGACAGGGAGATATTGTGCTTTTATGACACCTTTATCATCTGTAGCCCTCCCATCTTGTGTGTGTGTGTGTGTGTGTGTGTGTGTGTGTGTGTGTGTGTGTGTGTGTGTGTGTGTGTGTGTGTGTGTGTGTGTGTGTGTTGTAATACCTCATCCCTGCTCAGCTGAATGTACAAGGCATGTATTGATTGAATAGGTTTTATTAATACTTACCACGGAGCTATATTTGTGTTTTATGGCTCTCACCCTGCAGCGCGCTCAGGAAGAACGTCTCCTGTAATGAATAGAAAGCAAGATAGGCACTTTTTTACATATTCAACGGCATATCTTTAACTTTAACATGAAGACAAATCTATCCTATCTATCTAATCCCTTCTGGGTCACAAACAGGAAATGTTAAATGAAGTAACTGAAACCTAGGTTTACTAAAACTAAACCTGGTAATCATCCTAAACTCACTTTATTCACCTTTTCACTTAATACAGAGTTCAAAAGCCAATTGTAGATAAAAGATTCATCATTAAAGAGTAAATATAAGAGAACAAATGTCAAATTAACACAAATGATACGAGTGATTAATCATTAAACATGTCAGAAAATGTCAAATTTGTTTATATTAGTTGCTGTTTAATGATCATTTACTATTTTCCTCAAACCAAAGACACATTAATTCAAAAATGTAACAAAAGAAAGACTCTAACTCTAAAGCTGATATATTTTGTAGTCATTTCTGAGAATGATCACAAGAGTAATTACCTGGATTGAGACCGTACTTAATTCAAATGAGTGTTAGTCACCTGCCCCAAAGCGACTTGTGTTTCCGTGACTGGCGCCTCTCGTGCAAATGATAATTTTTGTCTCAAAAGCAGAAGTATCATATCCTTCCTTTATGCAAACCAAATTAGAATAAATGGAAATGTGTGATCTCTGTTTCCATCTTTTTTCCCCACAACTTCCAAAACAACCAGATCTAATGTCACCACAGTGGCACGATTCACCAGAAACAGGCGTTGCGGTTGTCCGTTTCCTGATGCGTGTTAAAGAGGTGTTTGTGCATGTAAATCTGTGCAACATGTCACAGTAGAGACACTCAATACTAATATGAACCTGGACATGAGTACAATAGGGCCCCTTTAATATGTTAACTCTATTTGTTAAACAGTCTGCAGTTTTACAATTGAAGTCATCAATAGCAAAAGCCTTGAACATGTGGGAGGATCATGCAGATATAAACTAACATTGTTAAATACTGATAAGAGTTATCTTCATATTGCAAAAGAATAAATGATGGAGGATATTTTAAATGCCGCTTAAAGGGAGATAATGTGTTCAGACACGGTAGAGATGTCTTAAGCTAAGAAAACTGCACATTTGAGGGCGTAGCTGGAAAGGAGAGTGACATCAATAGGCTGTAAAGTGTAGGTGGAAGATTTCTACATATTGACACAAGGAAACATACAATGAACATTTGACCTAGGGAACAAGACGTATGAAGAGGATACGAGGTGGGCAACAGTTCTGTGTGTTTTTACAATCTTTTGTTGCTAATAATTATTATCTTACTTACTTACCTTGGTACCTATATACACCTACTTACTTACTTATTTATATATATTTACTTACTACCTACCTACTTTCTAAGTTTATATTACTTACTAACTTACTTACTACCTACCAACTACCTACCTGTCTAGATTCATACTTAACTACTTTCCTTATTACTTACTGACTTACTCACCTGCCTACCTACTTTTTTACTTACTTGCTTAATTCATTTCTAGGATTGATTCTCTTACATAATCCAACTACCCCCCACCATTAAACAACAAAAATGCCTGGAGAAAATACAAATAAAAGTACATGTTTTTAAACAACAGTTTTAAAGGACTCAGTTGTCTATTCAGTTTTGTTCCAGAGAATAAAACAAAAATACCAAAAAATGATTGTATTGGTTTTAAATCAGTGAGTCAGTCAGAAATGGATTCAGGAGCCAAACCATCAAGTGCTTCCTAGACTAGTTTAAGTTTTGAATTGTTTGGTTTAAGTACCGGAGTAATACTGTGTGTTTGACTTGATCTGAAGCTTTGTGATTTTTTATTTTCCCGCCAAATAATACAAACTATCACCCTGAGATAAATGCACTTTTCTTTCTACAATCATGCTGACATATGAATCTTCATACCTTTCAAATTATAAAATCATTTCCTGGTAGGTTCGTTCCAATAAAGTGGTATTTACAATGTTTTTATTGGTATCCATATAACCTGATGAGGAAGAGATATGTTTATTCTGTGTGTTATCAGAATATGATAAGCTGTATCTGTATCTATACTCACCAAGCAGAAGTATGTTTGAAGTAAAAAAAAAAAAAAGCAAATGTCTAAGCAGTGACCCCTGTGGGACCCCTGAAAAAGTACTATTAGCTGACTTAGAGCGACCAAAACATGTTCCTTAAAGACTGTTAAAATAATAGGGGCTGTCTTTTTGATGTTTGTGTTATCCATGTGTTTTTTGGAAAGATAATTGTTATACTATGACACCATTCTCAATACCATTCAGAGATGATAAAGACCGTCTTACTGATTATAACCAAATGTTTCTGCCAACATGAACAGGAGAGCAGTTTACTGGCTACTGGTATTTGTATTAGTGGGTGTATTTTAATGGCCCTTCTGTTTTATAGGTTTTGGTTATGATATGACATTAGGTTTTATTTTGGTTATTTTATGGTTTAACACCTTGGTCTAGAGTCCAGAATTATTAACATTATTAATGATTGAGTGTCCTTGCATCTTATTGAGTGTCCTTGCATCTTATTGAGTGTCCTTGCATCTTGTTGAGTGTCCTTGCATCTTAATGTGTACGTTTTTGTTTTTCGGGACTGTGGGAAACAGTATTTCGATCTTTCTGTCTGGATAAACATATTTTGAGATTGACAATAAAGTTGACTTTGACTTTGAATCCTCAGAAATGGATGGACCCCATGAAAAGTCCCAGCTAATAGACGCCATTTAGACTTTATTTACATCAAGAATCATACAATGTTTTATTGTTGTTGTTTTAATAAGTGTGTAATGGGGAACATTTGGGGAAATGGTTATCATTGCCCTTCTGTGGTGGACAGCACTAGGTCCACCAGAGAAAATGGCTGGACCCCGTGAACATTTCCAGCAAATAGACTCAACCCAAATCTGCTTTATTGACAGCTAAGAGAGACTTACTAGACTTTTAGAGGATAACTCGTGGTTATGACAAGGCATTAGGTTTTATTTTGACAAAATGTACAACAACAATTAAAAATACCATGACGTTAAGCCAAACTGAACTTTGGCTCACGTGGGTGTAAAGTTGGGTGACTCCATGTTGCTTAACTCTTAAAATATTCTGGATTTTATTTCTTAAATACTTTGCTTCTAAGAGACACAACATTTACATCTTTAAAATAGCTGTGGTCATGCCTTCTTTTACACTTTAATGAACCAGTTTGACAGAATGACTGATAAGCTTTTATATGGCGTCAACACACCCTGAAACAATAAACTATAAAATGTGCTGCCGTCTCTGTGATGGCATTGGATTCATTTTTGGAGGAAGTGAAACTTAACCATAGGTGGTTCTAGCAATAAGGAAACTTAAGGAATATTCAAAGTGGCACATCTTATCTAAAGTATTCACACACATCTTATCTGAAGTATTCTATCAAGTTATTGTTATCTGTGAGTCACAGGATAACAACAGGAACTGAGGAACATTTTACAGGAGCTTCCCAATTAACGTAGAGATCTGCGATTTGAAACGTAAGACTTTGATACCGTCTTTCTGAAAGCTAAACTCGTCACAACGGAAATGTGTTGCAGGCCATTGTAAAAGTTGGGCAATTCTAGCTCATAATGGCACAATTACGTTGTTAGGAATTCAGCTTCAATTGAGTTTACAGTTTAATTAGTAGTGTCACATTACTTTATAAGAGATGAGTTTGACGTCAGAGTTTTGGACTATTATAGACCTTCGGCTTCAGGAAATTGGATGACGTTTACTGGCATTTTGGCCTAAAGTGGACGACAAGAGTAATTTATGAAATGGTAAAATAAAGTACTCTTTAATGCATTCTTGGAATCCTGAAATAGATCAGTTCTTAAAGGTAGGGTAGGTAAGAATGGAGAAACCAGCTCGAGTGCGCTAGAATTTGAAAGTACGCAGCCGAAAAAAATCTGCCCCTTCCTTCAGACTTCCTCACAGAGCCCCTCCTCCAACACACACGAACGCGCACATGACCAATGAGGGCACGAGATAAGTTTGTGCACAGATGGAAGGCTGACAGGCAGGTAGGCCATCCAGTTATTTTAGCCGGGCCGGCTCAGATGATTGGTCGTGCTTTTTACAGTACTACAGCTTCCACAGATGATATTTCTTTATGGATTTATTGTCAAAGCACTTCAGATATTCATTGCTATCAGGATGTTAAGAGCATTCCATGGAATATAACAACAAGTGTTTCTGAAGAGAATTACCTACCCTACCTTTAAGTGTTGAATTAAATCAACTTTAATTTATCACCTTCCATAGAAACATGCTGCCTTTATTTCTTCACATGACAAACTGTAGATAAAATCCTGATCCTCTAAAAAGGTTATGAATAAAATGTTGAAAAACACAACAGAACAGAAAATAATGTTAAAACTGATGATTACAACTTGTCATGTCTTTTCAACAATTCCAACTAAAACATAATAAAGTCTAAAAATACTCCATGTACATGTCAGTACAAGTCCTGAATCCAAAATGTTACTTTACAGAAGTGTTATTACAGCAAAAGTACTAGGTAAGGCTTTTTATCACAGTACTTCATTATTATATAACAGGATATGATTTAGTTTTTATGACAGACACATACTTTTCAAAGCATTTTAATGTTGTATTTGTCAAAGTTTCTTTAAATAGAGATTAGTAGTACTATTCTGCATCATAACATATAAGCATATTCTGTGTTTTTATATGTAATCAGAATCAGAACCAGGTTTATTGCCAA